AACTCAGCCTCTCTGATGCTGGTACGCATTCTTTGCCACCATGCCCAGTGCAGTCAGGACCAGTGAACAGAGGAAAAACAGAACTGGGGGAACGCTGCTCCTAGACGTTAGGATGGTTACATAAAGCCGTGGTGACTAAGACAGCGTGGTATCGGCAGCATGATGCAAGTAAGTCAATGAGCCAGGGCACAGTTTAGAAACCGATCAACACCTAAACGGCGACCTCATTTTCAACAAATGGTAACTCCGTGCGGAAGAGGACATGATGGGCAGGTCAGCCAACGCTACTTTATCGACTGCAAACCCCTGGAAAAGGAGAACTTTGACTGTTATTTTACAATGCATAGGAAATTAGCTCCCGCTGCATGCCAGAGCTAAACTGTGATTTTCTGAAACGAAAATTAGCAGCACAAAGTTCATGAACATGGAACATGCCAAACATTTTAAAGGCATTAGGAAAACAAGAAACGATAAGCGATAGCGAAAGATGAAATTTGTGTTTTATCCAGGAAGTACCATTAAGAGTTCGAGAAAGCAGACATCAAGGTGGAGAAGATGACTGCAATAATCTGTCCAACCATGGGACTCATGCACTCACATGCAGAGCTGTGCATCAATATGGAGAAGACACTCCAAAAGACAATGGTAAGGTACTTTACAAAACCCAACAGTCATGACTCAAAAAAACGTTGTTCTGTGTCATCTCAGGGAAACGCTAAATTAAAGTATCATTAAATCCCAGCGTCAGTGCAAAAGATCGGATGTTATCATCCATGCTGAGAAGGGGGCAGAACAGCTTTGGTGCCCGTCTGTCTGACGCTGGGATTGTATGTCTGTGGAGCTTCTGAAGAACACATGAGACTGGCCCACAGATTACATGTTATCACCCAGATAACCCATTGAATTTCTTCACATATACACATATGCACTGGCTCACATGCTTGCAGCACCGCCGGGAAGAGCAATAGACTGAAAATGACCAAGACCAAGAGGCATAAACTGTTATCTGGATATAGATGAACAGTATGTAGCAACAGTAACAAGCGGAAGATGACTTGGACGGAACCCAGTTTAGCAAATGTCAGACATTTCAGAGCACATAGCATATGATTCCCCATATAAGATACTCAAGATGGAGAAGTGTTAACTGGTAGCCAGCAAATCACAGAGGAGTTTTCCTCAGGCAGGAGGGGGGGTGACTGTCAGGTTTGCATGTGGGCCCCCTTTGAGTCAGGTTCTGTTTCTTGACGTAACTGCCGATTAAGTAGGGTGGTCTCATGTGGGCTTCCTAACTTTTCTTACTGATTAGAAAAATGGCCATGATCTATTAAGGGGAGAAACAACGCTGCCTGTAGATTACCACATAAAATTCTGTGTCAGTCATATAGAAACCCTTGTATTTTCATACTGAAAAATAATTTATGGATGATTTATCATTCACATTTATATTTCAATTCGGGGCTTACAGAACTACTGATTAACAAAATGAGAACTAGTTTCTTTCTAGTTACAAATGATCCATGTACAAATGACAAACATATAAAAAGAAGCAACTTTCTAGATAAAATTTCCAAATGGGTCCCCAGCGTGTTGCGATGTGGCAGCCTTGAGAAGTCTGAGGTACCAAGAGGCCACACTGTAGCTTTCCCCCTCTGAGATATCAGGATATAACTAAGCCGTCACTATTAGTGTCATGCATGGTAATAGCTCTGCTCTGTACCGAGAGGTTCTTGCCTGGCAGCCTGGTCCCCCCAAGCCCACAGACAGTTCAGCCCCCAAATAAACACAGAGATGCAATAATAATTATGAAACTGTTGGCCGGTGGCTTGGGCTTTTTATTGGATAGCATTGTCTTAATTATTAACCCATCTCGATTAAGTATTTCCACATGGTCTTATCTTACGGAGAAGGGTCCTCCAGCGTGTCCTGTCCTCTCGGTCCCTCATGGCAACTGCTGTCTGCCTACAGTTCCCAGGATTCTCCTCGTCTCCTAGTCCCGCCTATCTTCCTGCCTCATTGGCCACAGTGTTATATTCATCAACCAATAAGGGAAACATATATACAGAAGACATGCCCATCATCTACTTTTACTAAAGGTCTGTCTTTTGTCCTCTACGGAGCATTCACTGGGCAAAGGAAAAAGCTTCACTATCACATACCCACCCTGGAGAAGGGACAGGTTTACGACTATAACACTCCATGCCCATGAGTGGTTCCACCCATGGATGGCACAAAGGAACACTGTCTCTTGCCATGCTTTTGATGTAACAGCTTGGTACAGACTTGTGTGGTGATACATTGTTTATCATCTAATAAAGCCACTGAGGATCAGAATGCCAAGCTAGCCACAAACATAGAAGCTGGGCAGCGTTGTCACACGCCTTTAATCCCAGGACTCAGGAGACAGAGGCAGACGGATCTCTGTGAGTTCAAGACCACCCAGGGCTACATGAATCCGTCTAAAAGAGTAACAGAGCTCACTCCTTGAATCCCAGCACTAGAGAGGAATATAAAAGACAGGAGCCCAGTGTCTCATGCCGTATTCTGAGAATTAGTCTCCAGCCACAGTGAGGACGGAATCTCCCCAATCCTTGGTAAAGGTAAGAGCTACTGGCTTGGCTTGAACCCCAATATCAGTCTCGGGTTTTTATTATTCATGTTACAGACTCTCCCTTACTGCCCACTGAGTTTACAAGCAGATATCCTTGTAAATGTCTGTGCTTCCTTCAACAAATATGTATTACTAGACAGTGATTTCTGCCAATTTCATTTCTAAATATTCTTCTTGGAAAGATGTTGCAAACCACACAAATCTCTAGAAGCTATAGTGGACCAGAAAACGGGAACTTTGAGAAGAGCCGTTAAGTATATGACAGTCGCCATATTTATCGTAAATAAAATGCTTTGGAAAATAAAGATGGTCACTAGCAAAATTTGAAAACTCATCTGCGACTTGGAAATCAGAAGCTGTGCCGACATGCTGCACACAGCCCAGAGAGAAAAAAAAAATCCAGTGTTTACGATTTCTGCTCACAGAATAAATGGGAACACATTTCAGTTCATTTTTCTTAAACACAAAACAAACCAAAACCAAAATGAAGGCACCAGCTCAAATGCATACATAGAGATGAAAAAAAACGAAATGGGAGAAGAAGATGAAGAATTGCAAATGGGGCTCACATTACAGGCGTCGCAATGAAAGGGTACTTAAGCGGTCATTTAATCTCGCGGGAGTGATGTTCAGTTTTGCTGTGTTGCCCCATACACGTTAGGAAACAGAGCAGGTAAACTTAATCACAACAGTGAAGACTGGCTGGACACAGGAACCGCAAATCTGAGCGATACATTAAGGTGCCACATGTGGCCGGTACATGGTACATCCCCCCACCCCGCAGTAGAACAGACCCCCTGGCTGTATATCCCCAAAGCTCCGAGACAGTCGTGTGGCTCAGCACAAGTCAAGAGCTCCCCACACATCCTGTGACATCACTGCCCTAACTGTCACTGACAGACCTCCCCGGAGAGGAACTGAAAAACAGTTGAGGTATGGGACAGGGGTGGGGTGGAGAATGCCAACATACGGGGTTTAAACTTCTTCTTACAAACCGTGCAGAAAAGAACAAGCTCACACAGGGCGAGCTGGAAGAGACTTGCTTGGTTTTTTTTTTCTCGTTATGCAAATGCCTTTTGCTAGAGATACTTTCTATTTTGGTCAGGGTGATCCTCATTACCACTCTTACTATGTGAGGCACAAGACTGTGTATCTGTTTTAACAGGGACATGCACATAATTACTCTCTGCAGAAATTTTCCAGAGTGTCAAAATATGAATTAAAACACCAACACTCTTTTTTTTTTAAAGGTTTCTTATGTGATTCCAAAATATGCTGCTTACAGAATGAAGTAAGGCTTGGTGAAATGGATGAGAACATTTGGAGCCGTTTTCTAAAATATGCATTACTTATTTAAAGCAAGGCTTAGCTCTGGTTACATTATACAGAAATTCTTCTGAGAAACGTGCAAATGCACGGTGAAAGCTGAGTACCTTAATTGCCCCGTTTTCCCCAGAAAAGACCCCATCTCTTTGTGGCTGAGATAGAAGGTCACGGTTCTTCCAACCCCAGCCGAGCTTTGTCCCATCCGAAAAGAGCAGTTTTACATTGGCCGTGCCATCCCTCTGGTTCACTGACAGCCTGGTCCTTAAGAGAGGAGACTGGGGCAGAGATGAGCTACCATGATATCCAGTTGTCTTAATTTTCGTTCCAATTCAGCAGAAAACCCACTAGCAGGTGTGACGTGTTTCAGGAGTTAAGAATTTCAGGACCACGGTGGCTGAAGACACAGCAAACTCATGGCCAATGACTGATGTCTTCATCTGTCCAGATCTAAATGACAGTGCCAAGACAGGGCAGCGAGAGGAAGACCTTAGCTGGCTGTCACAGAACGTGGCCCCACTTCCTGATCGCACTGAGCCGTCACCGGAAGGGAACGCCTAGATGAAGACGTGATATTCCTTTTCCCTTTCAAGACCCCAACAAGCGCCTCGTCTCTGATGTCTGCTCTCTTCCTGGTAACTTTCTGCCTGACCTACTAACTACAGGCAGTTTCCCACCATCCAATTGGTCAACCACGGTGGCTTCCCCAGCCGCATTAAGTGCCCCCGCCCAGAAGCAGAGCGCACACCAGAGACACTGACTTCCACGGACTGGGACTTTCCTAACACAAAGAAGAGTCTGGGGTGGCAGAGGCCTTTTCACCTTTGAAAACGAGAAAGCCAAGGTCGGGGCTTTGAAGTACCGGTGCTTGCCATTTGCAGGGCGGGTAGCACGCCGCGAATCTAAGAGTCTCTTGGCTTCGGGTCAGGTCCATGGCAACACTCCCCTACCAGAACGATGAAGCCAAACAGACAGATAAGACAAACTCCGCAACGAAAAGCAAAATCCAGTTCTTGGTTTCGCTAGTGTTTTTTTTTATTATTGTTTTTTGTTTTTTTTTTTTAACCTCTGAAGAGATTATCCAAGTCAATATCTTCTTTTCCTTTGATTTTCAAACACTTTGCCTGCTGTACAAGTCTGGCAAGGAACAGAAATAAAATCCGGATTCATTATCCCGTGACGTAAGAATAAGTCACGACAGCAGCACAAATTTAAATAGACACCGCAGAGAGAGGGGGGCAGCAAACTGGCAGGTGTTTTGCCCCACAGTCTCATTAGAATGCTTCTTCAAGTTTAAGATTTAAAGAGAACATGAACTTTTGTTCGGAAACTCTGACTTTGAAAAATCGAACCCTGGAAGCCTTTGCCTCACTCGTCCCAGAGAATGATCTCTGCAGGCTCTGAGGATGACCTGTCTGCGACAGCGGGTAGCAGGGTGGTGGATGGGTAAATAATAGGCACCATCCCCCAGTTTCAGTGCTTATTATTTCAATCAGAAGACTATAGACGCTGGACTCAAACAAGTGCGCAAGGTAATTTAGCTGCACTACTGAATGTCAGAGAATTAATTAACTTTTGCAATACTGCAGAGTACGGTGAGGCCCTAATTTCGCCATTCTTTCATCATGGTGCTTCATTAAAAAAATCGAGATTCCGGCTTCATAACAAAGACTGGAGCTTTTGAAAGGAAACTTCTCCAGGGTTGCTAATTACCTACTAATTAATTTTAGGTAGGCAGAACTTGAGATAATTAATTTATCTGCATATATTTATGATTTCAATAAACACAATAATTTGCTTTGCACATGTATTTTCTTTTTTTAATGGTTTTTTCGATACAGGGTTTCTTTGTATTGCTTTGGAGGCAGTCCTGGAACTCGCTCTGTAGGCTAGGCTGGCCTCGAACTCACAGAGATCCACCTGCCTCTGCCTCCCGAGCACTGGGATTAAAGGCATGCGCCACCAACGCCCTCCACATATGTATTTTCTTATTGCAGCTAATGGTTTTCATCTGATCCTCACTGGCAGGTCCCTGAGTTGGTCACGAAAGAAAGGGCAGAGAAAAATGACTCAGCTACCTAGGAATCTGAATTGCTTACCCAAAAACTGACATATTCTTTTTTATTACACCTTTTTTATTATATATTTAAATTAGGAACAAGACATATTCTTATCTATAGTTTTTTTGTCATACAGACGTACATCCTCCTCATTAGGCAGGTATGTCTTAGTTGTCTTTCTATCAGAAGAACAAGAAAAGGTTTGCACTGAGACCTCCCTGCCTTTGGAGGTTCTGCCATGGTGCAACCATCCAGTGGTTTATGAATTCCCTGCAGTTCAGGACAAGGAGAAGGAACTGGGTTCAGGATCACTTGACTATATGCCTAGGCCTCAGTTCCTAGCTCTGTGTTACAGAGTGGCTTTTTGAACATTGTATGCCCAGTGTCCAATCCGTGACATACGACATACAACGTGCCTAACTGGGTTGGTCTGTGCAATTATTTAAACAATGTATTTTTACAGTACTAAGGGGGCTGCTATGAATTACCGATCTTCACACAATCTGTGGAGTGTTTCAGCAATTCAATGCGTGTTTAATCCTCTTTAGATGCCCTGTGGTCTCTATGAGCCCTCAGGACTCATTTATAGTTTTCTAGCAAAGAGTGTGAACTATAGAGAGAGGGATTTAAACCTAAGCAGTGAGTTTCCAATGGTCAATGTGAGATTCTGGGTGACACCAACCCCTGTGCTCCGTGTCACGGCGTAGTCACTTCGTAAAGAAGATGGGGGAAAGGAACAACTTCAACTCTGCTCACCTGTTTTCAGATACCTTAGGGGATTGACCCCTCCATTTTATAAATTTGGTGGCATTGAGAATTGATTTGAAACCCTCTGACAACATTCCTCTGCAGTCTATGCTGGTAAAATTTTAGATCTATGACACAAAATTTAAAAACAAAAATAGAAGATGTCTGCCTTGCATGGGATCATATAATTTTGACAACATTTTAGAAAACTAATTTAAAATACCAAATGTATCTGGCAGCATTTTTAAAAAATTGCGAGAGTCATTATAATTAACCAAGGATGCATCTCCATGAGCCCCACTTTCAAATGGTTACATCGCTAAGGAGATACCCAAGCTAAACCCTGTGGCCAGTTTAGACACTGAGAAGTCAAGATATATAAGGACCTCCAGGCTCTCCCTTCACTCAGCCTTATTCCAGTCTGACAATGACTTTCAAGATTTATAAACATGAAAACCAAGGCTCAAACACACTGGTCAACCTGCCCCTTCTTAGGCACAGAGAGTCCACAGTGCAACTAGGTCTCAGAGTGAAGTCTCTGAGTAGTGAAAGGAGGCTTTCTTCTGTATCACAGATCATCTTCAAGAGACACAATGCCTACCCTTCCTTTACAAACACCAGAGGTCTTTGGGGGAACCTCAGCAAACATATCAACTACTTAAGCTAAAATGTCTATACTGTACATGGAGGGTTAGGTTAGCAGAGGTCAGGGGAGCCCTGACCCACAGAAATGGCTCCTCTTCACCTGAACTTAACAAGGTCAGAGAGTTCAAAACTGTCCTTAGTCTTCCAAGGCTAAAGTCATAAGACCTAAAGGTCTAAGGGGTAGCTACTGTAGGGTGTTTTGATCTTGGTCATGGATGTCTTATCTAAATACCAACAGACTTGGTCTGAGGTGTGTTTACTCTTGACCCTCAAGGCCAGATAAGGAGAAATTAAGTTTAAAGTGTGGCTACCAAATGTTTGGAGAATCAATGAAGAAAGTCTGTTTGTTCCTTGTATATGATAAAAAAAAGTCTTTTGCCACATTCCCCTTTTTGGTTGGGGTATTTAAGGATGTTGAAGAATAAACACGGGGTATCCAGTATTCACAGGATTGCCCTCCTGACTCTATCCCACGTCTCTGACTTTTCTTAGATCTTTACCCGCCATTTCTCAATCCACACTCCCCCTCTCAGGTTGAGACGGTCTGAAGCCCCACAAAGATGGGTTACAACAGGGAGCCAAACTACAGAAGGCTCCCTTGAAGAGTTCCCATTGGAACCCGATGGATGGTAGAAAGGACGCGGCTGTGTTTGCTAGTGGAAGGATCCGCTGTGGACGGGCCAGCGGAAACGCCAGAACTGACAGGGCCGGTGGCATGCCCCAGACAGACAGTTTCCGGTTTAGTGAAAGGGTCCTATAGCCATTACCATTTCTCCAACAGTTTTTCCTGAAGCCTGGACTATACCCTGTGTACAGCCACAGCTCTAGGCACTGCAAGTAACCTCCAGAGATTGCTGTGATGGCAGCGAGTATCGGACGCTCACCCAACTGTACTCCCTAAAGGAGGCAACGCCTGCTACCACCCCAGCGCTGTCTACTCTCCACTGTCTCCTACTCAGCTCCAGATATGTGACCTCCACACAGGCCAGTACTGGTGGTCGCTATCTCTGTGTTCATGAGGTCCCCAGCCCTTAGACTAGATGTCCACCCCAGAAGAGGCAAGGGTAATCTATTTCTGTTGAAAAGGGCATGGGACTAGAATCTGAATGTAACTCAGGTGAATGAAGCTACACCAGACAGTTCTAGGATAGGAGCTGGCAACCAATGGCCCGCAAATCAATTTCTACCATGTTCTGGTAAATGGAATTTAACCAGAACACCTGCATAGTTCCTGTCTGCAGCTACTTTCACGACAATCACTGAGGTGAACAGTGCTAGCACGATATTCAGCATCTGGTTCTTTAGAGAACATGTTTGGGGACCATTGCTCTGGAGGCAAAGGAGGTAGCCAATAAAGCCAGAATGTGTGTAACACACATGCCGGACACTTATTTGCAGGTAAATTCTCCAAGTCTGTGCAGCATTCTTTTAGGTTTTTCCTGCCCTCAGTTTGTGTTCAGTCAAGATGGTTCCTCTCAAGGGAAAGCTTCTCTTGAGTCACGGCATCTGTGTGTGTGTGTGTGTGTGTGTGTGTGTGTGTGTGCGCGCGCGCGCACGTGTGTGGCTGGGGGCAGGGCTACATCAGCATTTCAGGAAATGGACTCAAACCAAAGTTCCTTACAGAAAACACAGTAGGAGCTGGAGTTTGCAGGCCGGGGCACAGGTAATGGGGAGAATTGTGGGTGGGGTGGGGTGACGGGGTACGAGGTGGAGTGAGGAACCGAACACTGATGTCATCATTTCCCGTGTCTCTGTGTGCCCGTGAGTGTGACATGGGTCGTCTCATTTACAGGACTATGAATTGAACCAGGGGACCTGCGGCGCTGACTTAAGGGATTTTTTTATGCGGCGCTAACTTAAGGGATTTTTTTTACAAGCCAGGTGTGTTTGGCTTGAAGATAAACAATAACCAAAACTTTAGAAATACGACAATACGAAATACCTGCTAACGACAAGCGTGTGTAAAGAAGACGCTCTCCGTGGTACATCATTTATGTGGGGGAAACACGAGAAAGCACTTGTTAACGGGGGGAGCAGGCTGGGTGGACAAAATGCATGCACACACAGAAGAAGAGGGCATGGCTGTTAAAAATGGTGCAGCAGATGCACTGGTTTTTTATTTGCTAACATTACTTCTGATGCGTCCTTTGTGTGCACGCGTGTCTCTGTGCATGTTTGTGTTGCTGTTGTGCGAATATGCTCTTGAGTGAGCACTTATATTTGAAGGCCAGAGGTTCACGTTGGACATCTTCTCACTGGAGGGAACCCAGAGCCCGCAGAATGCATAGTCTGGCTTATCAGGTAAGTGGCAAGGATCTGCAAGGCTCCCCACCCCCAGAGCTGGGAATTGTAGGTGCCCTGCTGCTCCAGATTTTAATGTGGGTGCTGGGCGTCAGGTCCTCACACCTGTACACTCTGCTGAATTAGCTACATCCCCAGATCCCTCGTAATGCATTCTTAGATACAAGAATTGCTGCAGATTAAAACCATTTGATATAAACTTTGTGAAGAGGGAGGCTCCACCTACGTGCTTGTATGGCAGTGTAGACATGGAAGAGGCAAATGCATTAGCAGAAGTGACTTCTGTCTGCAGAGATGGATAACAGAATAGGAATGACAAGTGTTTGACTTCTAATAATTCTCTTTAGTCTGCACCAGTTAGGCTGCTGGATAGAAAAGGTCTGT